AAAAAGATGGTCCGCTTAAGTCTAGAATTGGACTTGGCAGTGGAACCGGAGCTGGAGCTGGAGCAGGAATCGGAAATGTATGTGAAAATAGCATTTCTAGTGAAGTCATAGTTGGAACTAGTTTGGGCGGTACGATTTGTACTGAAAGACCAGTTGAGGGAACGGAATATGAGAAGAAGCCTAAAGCCTCTGATGTACCAGTTGGCGAAAAGCACATTTCTGGCTTCATTCGCAACAACATAAGCCAATTAAGCTCTGAGAGGCAAAACCCTTGGAAAGCACGCCTCTTACAGTCTGGTCAAATGGTGGCGACAAGACTCAGGACGTCACCAATGGTACAGTCACCAGGACGTGCTCCTGGAGGCCAGATAGAGAGGCCGGCTTCTGTACAGATTCTCAGTGAAACCAAAGATGGAATAGATGAAACAAGTGAATGGAGGCAAGCGAGAAGAGATGGTTTAGGTAAAAAAATTAGTGACAATGACGAGAATAAATTTGAAAGGGAAAATAAGAAGAGGAAGGCAGTTAACGAAATTAATTTGGAGAAGGAGAAAAATAAAGGAAGTAAAGAGGAACATAAAGAAGAGTGTTCAAATAAACATGTTAGAAATATTCTACGAAAGAGGAGTGTATGTAATGGAAGCAAAATGGAAGAAGAGGAGACCATTCCATCATTGACAAAAAATTCTTCTTTTCCTTCCTTTGTCTCCAGGATTTTTCATTCACTGCACACTGACCATCACTCACATGCGACTCAACCTATAGGCCCTGAGCCCCTCACCCATACCACATGCGGTGAGCATCTTAGACTTGCAATCCCCCCTGCCATTTCTAGCCGGCAATCACTCAAGTCACCTGTAGGCCCAATCACCTCGCGCCACCCTTGTCCAGGCAGATCTCGCAGTGACGGGGCGGAACTACCACCTGCTCCAACGAACTTATCAACGCCAAAACCAGGTGAAGGGCCGCCACCACATGCACCACCACATGCGCCACCACCAATGATGCATTCTAGGATGAGCTCCATTTTGGCACCGTCAACGCTATTGTCCAGCTTTCGCCAGGCTCCATCTGTAGATCTCTTAGATTCTATGTCGAATCGCTCTTTCGAGTTAGACATTTTGTAACTCGAAGATGTGTGTCTTCATGACCGTTGACTTAAGTACTTATACATTCTTTCTATTCTCCCAATGCTTTTTCTTGGCTATTTGCTTGCCTTTCAAAATAAATGATTTACCAAGAAAATTATGCCTATTTAGTTAGATCGATATTTAACATGTCTAAATGCATATGTGTGCTCGTTTGCCAATCTAATCTGCCCAGTTCTATATGCAATTGTCCATCCGCAACTTGTATGATTTTTGAATGCCTATCTGCATACTTATTCCACTCTACTTCCAAATTAGCCTCTTTTTCAAAATCTTCAGTCTGCTGTCTGCCCTCCTGTCCGTTGTTAAAACAATTTATCTCCAAGTCGATCGTTGTACACGTCAGTCTGTTTAACTTTTC